ATATATATATATATATATATATATATATATATATATATATATATATATATATATATATATATATATATATATATATATATATATATATATATATATATATATATATATATATATATATATATATATATATATATATATATATATATATATATATATATATATATAAGATTAGTACCTGCTTCACATATCCTTGAAAGATTAAATAAGATTCTTCTTCACCAATTGGATGATAATACTCTGTGGAATTTACCCGAACCGGGGGTCTAAACGAGTTGTTTTTTTGAGGAGGAATCAAGGGATGATGCAACTTGAGTTCAGGATTCTGCGGGACCAGATAGTCGACTATCAAGAGTTGATAATCGATTATTGAGATTTGTAGCAAACGCCGAGAAAGTCCTGAAGAATGAGATAATCGATTATCTATCTTTGATAATCGTTTATTGAGAATCGCAGCAGACGCCGAGAAAGTCCTGAAGGGTGAGATAGTCGATTATCTTAATTGATAATCGATTATTAAGGCAATCAGGATCCGGAAACCTGGGTGGGTAATAGTGATGTTTGTGTGGGAATGGCGGGGATTTGTGGAGATGGTGAGGGAGTTCTTTTGGGTATTTTAAGAAGAAAAGAGTGAGATTAAGAGGAGAAATGGGGAGGTATGAAATGGGAGAAAATCAGGGATGGATAAACCAAGTTGGTATTTAAGAGATATTACACACTCTTATCCTAACTTGGGGTTTGAATTTAGAATTTAATTAAGATATGGCACACTTAATTAAATATCTAGAACCTAAAACTCACACTTAAGATAACCACTCTTAAGATATAGAATTAGGAATTTGGCTAAAATAGCATCACACTATTTTAATAATACTCTAAGAGTAAAAGATTTTCAATATTCAAAGATGATGTTACAATGGCCATAAGGCCTGAGTTATATAGCCAGGGGAAGGGGGGAAGAAAAGCACAATACATTGAATGTAGACATTAGGCCTGGACATCGCTGTTCTAGGCTTGCGTTTTGAAAAATGGGAAGCAACGGTCATGCCAACAGCGATGTCTAAAATCCCTACATCGCTGTTTTGGCTGTTGACTTCCAAACAAGAAAAGTTTTAGCCTTAAATTCCTTCCAACGGTCAGGTCTCTACATCGATGTTCCATGCAAGAACATCGCTGTTTAGGTCTGCCTTTGAAGATGGAAGTTTGGCCTGATAACGCTGTTGCTGGGTCAACATCGCTGTCCAAAAACTTTCTGCCAATGCACTATATTTTTGGCTTAGGTTGGACAGCGCTGTAGGGAAGCCTACATCGCTGATCCAGAAGTTTCTGGAAATCCAAACTTGGCTCAACAGCGATGTCTAGTGTCCAACCTCGCTGTTGGAAGACTTAACGCCAAACCATGTTTTAGCTACCCAGGCCAGGCAGCGCTGTTGATTACCTCAACATTGCTGTTGGGCTGGTTTAGCCAGACCCATGGTTGGTTTAGTCACGCCGTTAGCCGATGTCAAAAACGCAAGTTCTCCAAAATAAAAACCAAGTTTAGAAAACATTTGTTTATTTCATTTTGCTAAGAAATCAAGTAAAACATCTTAAAAACCACGTCATTTAGTTGAAAACCACGGCTAGCCAAGTTCGCGCCGTTTCGCATGGTTTTCACTAAACGACCAAAAACGGAAGGTGGTTTTTGAGGCATTTTTGTTGGAGAACTATTTAAATATGCCCAGAAGTAAGAACCAGTCATAAAAGGTTGAAAACCACTTGGTTGATTCGGACGCCAAAAACCAATGCCGAAAATCGAGAGCCGAACACCGGTTTCTGAAAACCGAACGCCGGATGGCTTGGTTTTTGGTTTGGGCGAACTCCAAGTGTTTTTAGCCAAGTTTAAACTTAAGAAAAATATTTTTGAATATGTAAAAGAGATTTTTATGAATTGAGCCTAGAGAGCCAAGATTTGGAACTTTGTGCCGGTCTTGATCACATTAAGACCGACTCAATGCAATTCTAATTCTTCGTTCTTGATTCTGTGTTCTTGGTTCTCAAATCATCATGCCATGTTCCTTCGCCTTAGTTTTGCTCACTTTAGCTTTGATATGTCGCGACGGTTTGGCATTATCAAAACCTGTCATAAAAACGAACACAGTTTAGTACGACGTAGGCGTAAACCCGTGTTCCAACATTCTTTTGGGTATTTTAATTGGAAGAAAAGAGTGAGATTAAGAAGAGAAATGGGGAGGTATGAAATGGGAGAAAATCAGGGATGGATAAACCAAGTTGGTGTTTAAGAGATATTACACACTCTTATCCTAACTTGGGGTTTGAATCTAGAATTTAATTAAGATATGAAACACTTAATTAAATATCTAGAACCTAAAACTCACACTTAAGATAACCACTCTTAAGATATAGAATTAGGAATTTGGCTAAAATAGCATCACACTATTTTATAAATACTCAAAGAGTAAAAGGGAGTTTTTTATTATTCAAGGTGTGTTACATTTGGCCATAGGGCTTGATTTATATAGGGAGAGGGGAAGGGGGAAATACATAGTACAAAATATGAGGAAACTTCCTGGAAGCAACTATTTCAAAAACATGGGATAATTCCCATTTATTCTTGTCTCCTTAATGGAAAGAAATCAGAGATGGGGGCTGGTTTGTGGGGCTGTTGTTGGATTATTATTGTGGGCAAGTTGTGGTGGAGTGGCTTCCATTTTGGAGGGTATTGGGTGGGTCGATTCGGCCAGGCAGGGATGGGGAATATAATGTGGGGTTTTGGACTTATGGGATTGGGTTATTTGTAAGGGAATATGGGCAGGAAATGAATGGCTAGTGGTGGGTCAGGTTTTGGCTTTTTGTGGGTGTTTATGTTGGGATTTTGAAGTGTATTTTGGCCAGGGGTGAATGGAATAAAGGGAGGGTTTTACTGGCTTAATAAAAGGCTTAAAAAAAGGGAAAATAACAACAAACAAAAGGTTTTATTTTACACACTCTTATTTTTGGCCCTGGGCTAAAATAAGAGTAGGAAGAACTTTATTTTTGATATCAAAAGGAAATAAAATACTTTTGGATATTTGGGAGGGGTTGGGATTATGGTGGAGCCATCCAGGGGTATAACATACTCCCCTTCTTCAAAAAAAGTTTGTCCTCAAACTTTCGCACCACCGTAAGAGATTTTGGTTTCATATGAGTATTCCCGGATCAAATGGGAAACTTATTGAACCACCAACGGGGAGGCTCTCTCCGGGATCTATAGACACCTTGTTGTGTAATTCCCAAAATGTTATGGTATTTTTGAACAACATATAATACTCCGGGGGATCATCCGTCGGGTATTTTCCCGAGATCAGTACTTCTTCCTTCACACCTATTTTAACACAATGATCAAAAACAAAGGAATAGTCATAATCATCAGCATTAGAAATGAGGGCATGATTAGGCAGCTCCGGTGCCCCTGAAATAAGTTCATCGATGATGACTTCTTCTTCATTTTCAACATGGAAGTCAAAGACATCCTCAACGAGGACGTTTATATCGTCAGAGCTTTTTGTTTCCTCATCAAGAGTTGGTTCTTCAGGTGGAAATGGATCATTTATGGCTCCTTCAAAGGAACAATTTTCTTCATCATCCTTGGTCCACTCTTCATATGGGATGGCATGCTTGTTCGAGCACTCCAAATTGCTATGACCATAGCCACCACACATGAAACACTGTCGAGAAGCCCATTGTAATAATGCTCCGTTTGCAAGGATAATTTCCAGATTTTTGAGATGTCTTTTAGAGACCATATCTCACTAATCCGAAATTGGAATTGGGTGACTCCAACTCTCAGTGTTAGATATTGAAGTCCTTAATGACATATCATAAATTCAGAGCCATTGAAAAAATGTTTTCTACCTCTTTGGAGACAAACTCAGCAAGATAGACAGAATCCGGTCAGGACTGTGTTATCAACTTTGGGAGGGCGTATCTCTCAAACCGTAACTCGGAATTGAGTGAAATCAGCGGCCAGACGTAGATAAAAGGTTAAACTACTGAACTGGAAAGTTTCACCGTCAAATACGTCGTGTAACTTCCTCCGTGCTCAATGCTATGGAACTGAAAGTCTCTGAAAAAAATCAGCAACCTTTGGGCAACGTTTCCAAAGCCGGTCCTCAAGGTGATCGTCGAGACTTAAGAAAGCCTCGAGGCTGAGCTTTGATACCAAATGTTAGGCCCGAACCGGGGGTCTAAACGAGTGGCTATTTTGATGAGGAATCAAGGAATGATTCAGCTTTGAGTTCAGGGTTCTGGAGCAGGTGATAATCGATTTACACAAAGTGACAATCGATTATTGAAGGCTGCAGAATTTCTAGGGAAGCTGATAGTCGATTATCTGGAAAGGATAATCGATTATTGATCCCTGCAGGTGTTTCCAATGGGACTGATAATCGATTGTGGGGAATGATAATCGATTATTTGGCAGAATTCTAGGCAGGAAGAAGGGTGTTTTTGTGGGGGAATGGACTGGAAATATATGGAGATGATGAGGGAGTTCTTTTGGGTATTTTAATTGGAAGAAAAGAGTGAGATTAAGAAGAGAAATGGGGAGGTATGAAATGGGAGAAAATCAGGGATGGATAAACCAAGTTGGTGTTTAAGAGATATTACACACTCTTATCCTAACTTGGGGTTTGAATCTAGAATTTAATTAAGATATGACACACTTAATTAAATATCTAGAACTTAAACTCACACTTAAGATAACCACTCTTAAGATATAGAATTAGGAATTTGGCTAAAATAGCATCACACTATTTTATAAATACTCAAAGAGTAAAAGGGAGTTTTTTATTATTCAAGGTGTGTTACATTTGGCCATAGGGCCTGATTTATATAGGGAGAGGGGAAGGAGGAAATACATAGTACAAAACATGAGGAAACTTCCTGGAAGCAACTATTTCAAAAACATGGGATAATTCCCATTTATTCTTGTCTCCTTAATGGAAAGAAATCAGAGATGGGGGCTGGTTTGTGGGGCTGTTGTTGGATTATTATTGTGGGCAAGTTGTGGTGGAGTGGCTACCATTTTGGAGGGTATTGGGTGGGTCGATTCGGCCAGGCAGGGATGGGGAATATAATGTGGGGTTTTGGACTTATGGGATTAGGTTATTTGTAAGGGAATATGGGCAGGAAATGAATGGCTAGTGGTGGGTCAGGTTTTGGCTTTTTGTGGGTGTTTATGTTGGGATTTTGAAGTGTATTTTGGCCAGGGGTGAATGGAATAAAGGGAGGGTTTTATTGGCTTAATAAAAGGCTTAAAAAAAGGAAAATAACAACAAACAAAAGGTTTTATTTTACAGACTCTTATTTTTGGCCCTGGGCTAAAATAAGAGTAGGAAGAACTTTATTTTGGATATCAAAAGGAAATAAAATACTTTTGGATATTTGGGAAGGGTTGGGATTATGGTGGAGCCATCCAGGGGTATAACACCATCCCTTCCACCTCTACCAACCCGCCACCCCCCAAGGCCAATCCAACCAACACCTGAACTCCGAAATGTTTTCGTTGTCAAGGCATAGGTCATTATGCCAATGAATGTCCGAATAAGAAGATTATGGCAATCATGGAATATGAAGATGAAGAAGACAGCCCCACATGGAGTGATGAAGTAGCCGAAGATGAAGAATGCATAGGTGCAGATGAAGGAGAGCTACTGGTCATCCGTAGGACGCTAAGTACTTTAGCCGTCCCCGATGAACAATTACAACGAGAGAATATCTTTCATACTCGTTGTACGGTACAAAAGAAGGTGTGCTCACTTATCGTGGATAGTGGGAGCTGTACCAACGTGGCCTCGAAAACGTTAGTTGATAAGCTAAGGTTGAAGACGTCACCCCACCCGAAGCCATATACCATCCAATGGCTAAACCATGGCAAGGGGTTACGAGTAGATTCCCGAACTCTAGTCTCCTTGAGTATTGGAAAAAGCTATACCGATGAAGTATGGTGCGACATCATTCCGATGGACGCGTGCCATATATTGTTGGGAAGGCCATGGCTATTCGATCGAAGAGTCATGCATGATGGATATGCCAATACATACTCTTTCCTCATCAACAAGAAGAAGGTAACCCTTACCCCTCTTCCCCCTTCAAAACCCACGGCCTCAACTCCACCAAAAGAAGAGCCACCCATACTCCTTTCCACCATCCTACAGGCTGAACACCATGAACTTATGTTATACCCCTGGATGGCTCCACCAAAATCCAAACCCCTCCCAACATATCCAAAAGTCTTTTATCTTTTCTTTGTCCCAAAATAAAGCCTTTGCCATCTATTTTATTCCCTGGTTAATAATAAGAAACCAAAACCTTTTGTTGTTGTTATTTTCCTTCTTTTAATAAACAAATAAAAACCTTTCCTCCCTCCCTTTGAATCCCTGGCCAAAAACCCCATGCCACAACCCTGCCAATACGACTCCCTTACACCTAAACTTGGCTAAACAAACAGCCATAAAATCCAAGACACCTTGACCCACACCCACACCCTTCAAACCCCATGTTTTTACCCCATATCCAGTCCAGGAAATACCTCCAAATAACCTGCTATCCCACCCCTTTTTCTCCTGCCCAAAAAAGCCCCACCTAAGCCAATCAATTTTGAATTATATTCACATATTCCATCCCACCACTAATGGCCAAAAATCATGCCCTATAAGTACAACCTATCCCTGGTTTTCTTCCATTTCATACCTCCCCATTTCTCTTCTTAATCTCACTCTTTTCTTCCATTAAAATACCCAAAAGAACTCCTTCATCATCCTCATATTTTTCCAGCCCATTCCCCTCAAAAACACTCTTCTTCCTGTCCAGAATCACTGCCAAATAATCGATTATCATTCCCCACAATCGATTATCAGTTCCATTGGAAACATCTGCAGGTAGTTATAATCGATTATCCCTTTAAGATAATCGACTATCACTCATTCCCTGAAAATCTGCAGCCTTCAATAATCAATTGACACTTCTTGTAAATCAATTATCACCTGCTCCAGAATCCTGAACTCAAAGCTGGATCATTCCTTGAGTCCTCCTCAAATTAACAACTCGTTTAGACCCCCGGTTCGGGCCTAACATTTGGTATCAAAGCTCATCCTCGAGGCTTTCTTAAGTCTCGACGATCACCTTGAGGACCGGCTTTGCAAACGTTGCCCAAAGGTTGCTGATTTTTTTTTCAGAGACTTTCAGTTCCATAGCATTGAGCACGGAGGAAGTTACACGACATATTTGAAGGTGAAACTTTCCAGTTCAGTAGATTAACCTTTTATCTACGTCTGGCCGCTGATTTTACTCAATTCCGAGTCACGGTTTGAGAGATATGCCCTCCCGAAGTTGATAACACAGTCCTGGCCGGATTCTGTCTACCTTGCTGAGTTTGTCTCCAAAGAGGTAGAAAACATTTTTCATTGGCTCTGAATTTCTGATAGGTCTTTAAAGACTTCAATATCTAACTCCGAGAGTTGGAATTACATCGTTTCAATATCTGGTTGTTGAGATATTGATGTCCAAAGATACCTCAAAAATCTGGAGATCATCTACGCCAATGAGGCTATCTTGCAAGGGCCAACTCAACGGTGCTACAAGTGTTGTGGCTATGGTCATTTCTACTGGATATGCCCAAATGAACATGCCGTATCGTATGAAGAATGGGCCAAGATTAATGAAGAAGCTTCACGTGCAGAAGTTTTGATTGAAGAAACAATTTGTGAAGAGGAAAAGAAAAGCTTCAACGACCAGCTTTTCATTAAGAAAAGCTTCAACGACCAGCTTTTCATTATTACTACCTGCACATTTTTCCAATGGAACTGATAATCGATTGTGGGGAATGATAATCGATTATTTGGCAGTGATTCTGGACAGGAAGAAGGGTGTTTTAGTGGGGAATG